CCCTAGGAAAGATTGTTTTGACATGGATTGAAGCCCCAGAGATTTAATTTCTGTTCTGAATTCCAAATGAACTGGAAGCTTGCGTGAGTCATTTAGTTACTTTGCTTTTTCATCTGTAAATGGATCTTTGTTGGCTTTGTTTATTTAGATTGTAGGACCTTTGAGACACTGACCTTTGCTATCTGTACATCATCGAACATAATGATAGTCTAATCTTACGCAGAGCTTCTAATTGCAGCTGTAATTTAAGCAATAACATTTCCAGTGTTTTACTCATTGTAGCACGGGAATTGGTTGCCCTCAGAAGGAAGACATTTAAAAAGCCCAGATTAAAAACCTAGTCTTTTTGCATGTTTGGGAAAGATGAAAATTCTGACCAATCCTTATGAATATTAATTTTTGTGTAAAAGATATTTCTATGGACAATGACTGTAATATGGAGATTCTAGAATATCATTCTGTAATGAGAAAATCATTAACCCATATACCAGTGAAAAGTCAAAACATGTCTTTTTCTTATGGTCTGCCAAAATGCTGATATTTTAAACTAGAATCTCTGGCTGTGAAAATTGACCCAGCTGTCTACTTTCCTGCCTTTCCATTTTAAGTTAGGAAAGTATTTGCCACTTTGCAACTTTCCATTTTAGGGGTTTGGCAGATAAAACAACCGATCTAAGATTTTAAGAACGCCTATAGATAATTTTTTTTTTTAAAAAAAGGACAACAGATTTATTTTTAAAGTAATTTAGCATAATATTGTTGAAGCATCATCATTAGTACTGCTTTTAGTGAAGAAAAGTGGAGGAAGTGACACAGTGCTAAATTACTATTCACTGATTCACTGGTTACTGAATCGATAAGTGGCTGATCAACGAGCTCACATTAGATTACTTCCGCGTGCAGAGAAAACAGGTTGAAATCGAAGAAGGTTTCAGCTCATTATTTAAAGGTAGTAGAGACACACACACTGTGAGCCACTGGTTGAATGACCTTCCCAGATTATGATGTCCTTCAGCAGAATTTTTCTTCGTGCAAGAGTCAGAAAGGGCAAGCCCGGGAATGAAGGGTACAGGAGCATTCAGCAGAAGTTATATACCTCTGCCAAAACTCTTGTCTTAAACCCCTATGCTCACCCGCCTCCTAGTCCTAGAGGTTCCCTAGACATCTCGAGTTCTGTTTCTGCATATACACAGCACCAATTTCTGCTGAGACGCTCAAGGACCGTGTCCAGGATCCAAACACTAGATAATTCCCACCAAGTTCCCAGAAGACCTTGGTTCAATACAGTTTCGCTTCTGAAATGAAGGGGTGCTATCTTATTTTTGCTCGCTTGCTTTTAAGTAGCAGTAGTGATATCTAAGACCTTGCCTAGGACATGGGAGAAGCGAATGGACGGTTCCAAGTGAAGGCACAAGTAAATCCCATAATAACAGTAATAATTTGACAGTACTTGCCTGTATGTCCATTATTTTCTATGTTCCATTTTGAAGATCCCTTCACATCGTATCCTTCAAAATTCAGTGGCTTAAGGCTCTTGTCATAAACGACATTTTTGGTGACAAGATTGATAGGTGACTGTTTGTTTCCTTTGCAGGTGACAGATGTTAGATACCATTGTCGAGGATCTATTTAAGGATGAAGAAAATGTTTTTTTTGCTGTAGACTGCAAATCCTTGATAAAGCCAAACCACCAAAGAGTCAATAGATTCTTGCTTGGGGAACTGGAGACGTCTTTGAAGAAAAGGTCTTTGGGTGTTGGAATTTAATACAGGAACTTTCTTAGCATATCATTTTTTGTAGTTTTAAAAATATTAATGTGTGTCAAGAATGTTCTGTTAAGCTTAATAGGAAAATATGCACATGTAAATGGCTGTAAATTAGTAAGGGAACTACCACTGAGGTTGGCTGAACTGAAGAAACTATAGAAACTTGGAAACGATAACAAAAAACAACAGCCAGTGGTGGTGGTGACGGTGGTGGCGCTGGGTGTGAAATGCTGTTCCAGCACAGTCAGTTCCAGGGAGGGCTGGGCAGGACACAGGGATGAGCAAGGGAGCAGGCAGCCTAGGTGGACGCTGCTGGTAAAACAAAAGGTGCGGCTGTAGGTAGAACATTAGGATTTTTCATAACTGTCCTTAAGAATTTAAATAGCTGTCTATACCCAGCTTGCTGGGGTGATTACCTCTGGAGCACATTTAGAGTTATTTTTATAATTGTAGCATTATCCTTGGTTGAAACAAAATGAAGAGTTAGAACAAACACTGGTATCTTCAAAATACCCTTCTTTAGGCATCCTGTTTAGCACTTATGTTTGCATATAACGATCGTGCAGTGTTAAATGCTGAGTTGTGTGAATTTTTGCATTATTTCTATAAAGAGGCCCTTTGCAAAACAGAAGAATCCAAGCGCTAATGTGATTGGAAAAATAAATTGTTTAGCAGTACCTTCACAGTGTGGCTGGTCATACTTCTGTGACTGATAGCACCAGTGGCCTCCGACTAAAAAAAAAAACATAAAAAATCAGATATTGAAAATTAGATGAATGAAAAGCTGTACAAAGTGTCCCCCCCAAAAAGCAGATGTGAAATGGATTCGCAATTTGTGATCCTCAGAGAGTGATAACTGGGCACACAGTTTTGACCACTTCTTGGTTTTGTCTGCCTGATTTTATCAGAGTAAGATGTTTCATTTCTTAAATATGTAAACAACAGAGGCTGGTAAGAGGTGAGTGCTGTGGCTGTAAAGTGTGGAGCACACCATCCAGCCAGTCTAACTGGGTTGTAGTATCAAATAATTCAGAAGATAATTCTGGCTCTCGCTAGATCTTCTGGTCTTGAATGAATCAGTTTACACTTGTTAATATTCCTTCCATAAACTGTGCTAGCATGAAATAGTAGGGCTCTGGATGGGTTGCAGTTCTAAATAATATGGTTTTGAAACTTTGGCTTCAGCAACTTCTTGAGGCAAAAGTTCCACATCTGAATATATGTAGTGTTAAAATAAATTTCCTTTTATCAGTTCTGTACTTGCCATCCTCTCATATACTTGTAAATTCACTTACGCAAGACGACTTATCTCGCTCTGTTCCAGGAGCTGTTTTAAAGATTACTTGGTGCAATAAGGAATTTTAAGAAATGAAGGATCTCATTTCCCGAAAGAGGTGAAGAATCTTTATTGTAACTCAGCTGTGATCCCACACAGATGGTTGCAAAATTTTTCAATAGAACGTCTTAGTCTTACTTTTTCATTGTCAGAAGAAACGTGAAATTCAGAGGGAGAGAACTGATTTAACTTAAGTATGTGTTGATCTAGTCAGGCAAGGAAGCGCTCTTGTTTGTCGCAGCATGCTTCAATGGCTGTTTATGACAGCTATAAAGTTTAAATGGACTTTAACAGGAATCGTTCTCTTTGGCTATTTAATCAATAACAATTCAAAACCTCCTATAATCATGATTAATACTATAGTTTCTGTTTGCCTATGATTAGCAAATTATAGACATTTTAATAAATGGCTAATCAATTTTTAGGGATTATTATGGAGGAGTCCTGTCATTAGATTGCTAATTACCATAATTTGTGATCTTTTATAACACATCTGCTGAAGGCTCATAACTGCTTTTAACACATTTCTCTTCATATCAGTACATAGCAATACCATCCATCTATTAAGTATTTATAATAAGTTATAAATAGAACCTTGTTATGAAATGTGGCTAGCTACACCAGCAGAGAGAGGCTTGGATGAGTTTGTGGCAATTAATATAATCTTGGAAAAATGATACTGTTTTAGTTCTTCTCTCACAAAAAATAAATTCATGCTGAGCACTATAAATAACGTTGACTCACATTCTAGTTTAGCAAATGTTTAGTAATATTGAGAAGAAAAGTAAACAATATTGCTACATTTGTATTGTGAGAACTGTAGTGATTTCCACATTGTTGTTCCACTAATATTTTGTAATTATAAAAAAAGTTTATTTCAACAAAGTTTTATTTTGACACACTTCTAAACCTTAGCTTTAGGACCTGCCATTTCTAAAACTGACTGTTGCATTTTTTCAGGCCTGTGTACACAAGACAGCGGCCAGACCTCCAGCGGCGCTGAGCGAGTCCCCATCTCCACCGGGAAAGAGCAGAACCAGACGTTCCAAGCACAGAATGTCACCAAGTGCCTTAATTGATATTTTAATCAATAAATGCCTAGCAAATACCAGGTAAGCCAATCTTCACAATGCTCGATTATGTTTCGTAGTCTTAGTGTTTGAATGGATGAATGACTGCGGACATATTTCTGGCAGCTGCTCTAGCCCAGTGGTCAGTATATGCTTTAATACTGGCTGCACCAGAACCCTGTGGTCGGGAGTGGTCTTTCTTTGCAAGTTATATGTGCATGAACCTTCAGGAGAAAAAATGCTGCACTGCAGGAATAACCTGGACACAAACGTTTAAAGGTGGTAGCACCTACGTGGCATGACAGGATAGCTACCTGCAAAGATTTGGTCTCAGACTCTTTGGCGTGTGAGTTAAACCAGAGAGGGAAGTTGTCAGGTGAGAAATCAAGGTCAGTTGAGGTATTCCGGTCTGTTTACCGTAAATTCTTGGAACAAGGTCTACTGTTCTGGGTTTGTATAGTGCCTTGCACAATGGGAGTGTGATCATGGCTTAGACATCAAAGCCTTACTGCAATGCAACTCAAATTTTACAGTCAATATGATTCACAATTAGGAGTAATTGCAGCAAGTTCATTGTTCATTGGGTGCAAGGTTGTGGAGCTTTTAGACCACGACCATAGAACCACGAAAATCGAAGACGACCACAGGAAACGCTGAGGGAAGGTAAATATCACCAAATCATATTGTCAGTGGTGCGGATACAGTGCCTCTGTATCAGAGGGGTGAAATGGAAGTGGGTTATGGAGCCTTTCGTCGCCGAGTCTGAGTCCAACCCTTCTCAAACAAAACAACCGCTGACTTTTTACCAGCTGATGGGTGTTTGGCAGGTTCTCTCAAATAAGCTCGTGGGTTTCAATCACGTCTTAGTAGATCGGCACATGAGCGCACTAAAAATCTTGCAGCCTGCACATCAAGATGATGGGGAGAAAAAGTTTAAAAAATTAAAATAAAAAAAAAAATCCAGCCCTCAGGTGGCTACTGCTGCCTTACATCCAGCACTCATGAGTATTCTTCCCTTCTTCTGTCGAATGCAATGTACACCAAATAATTAGCGTCTAATTTTTGCAAGCTTTCTGCAAAGTTCCTAATGTCTACAAACTAACAAAGAATTAGTGTTTTTCTATCAATTACTATCACAGTTGTGGTTCAGAAAGCTGGATGGTATCAGTGAAGTAGAACAGGATATAAATTCAGCAATTCGTAAGAAAAAGGTCCTTAAAGCTGTTAAACCTTAAACAATGAGCTAATTAAACATTGCAGAATGCCTGAGCAAACAATGAATTAATGTTTATTGTGGATTAGAATTTTTTTTTTGGTTGGCGGTAATGTAACATTAGAGAACAGGATCTTTTGTGTAGATACTGCTCAGGAGGAACCAAACTGCCATGCCCTGTGTCACTTACAAGGAAAATTTGCATTTGGATTTTATTTGAGTCAGATGTGATTCCTCCCTGCGTACAAGGACCTTGCATTTACAATGGTCCTTTTTTCCCCCTGGGCTTTATGGCTTTATTTCTGAAGCAAGAAGGAAAGATATTTGTCACATCCAGTCGGTTGTCTGTGGTCTTAGGCACGATTATGCCCTAAAGTATGTTTTCTAGTCTAGTTTGAATTGTCTGAGTGGCTCCTGCCACTTCCCTTAGGAGACTTTTCCACAGCCTTCACTGTCAGGAAATATTTCCTGTTTAATAGCTTACATTTTCCACTTGCTTATCTGCATCCCATCACTCCTAGAAATATCACTGAACCACCCTAAACAATTCTTTTCCCTCCCTGGTGTTTACAGCATTCAAATAGTTCCTTCATAATCTGTAATTCCTGTTCTTGCTTCATCCATCCTTTGTCCCATCTCTTGACAACGTGCCCTTCACCTTTCCGCCATTTCCACCTCAAAGCCTTTCACCTCTCTTTCTCTGAAGCCCCTTTCTTACCGGGACTCAGTACATATCAGATCCCGTCCTGCAGTCCTCTCACCTGACTGCTCTTTCGATCAACCCTCCGCTCCCCCATTTTCTGTCGTGTTGTTTATTTTATTGCCCAGAAAAATGCGGCAGAACGTGGGGTTTTTGGGTGTTTTGGGGGTTTTTGTTTGTTTTTGTAGTTGAGGTGCTGAAACCATTGCTGTGATACGAGCTGCCCTGGAGGGTTTCATAGCTTACTCCCATACCTTGCTGGTACACGTCGGTTAAGCCATGAGCATCCACCCTTCGCTCAGGATAGTTTTAGATACTAGCAGGATTTCCAAAAGCTCCTTGCCTAATTGGAAGTAATATAATTCAGTATACATATACATTCAGTATACATATACACCTGGCCTTAGAACTGCTATATTATCAACTGTATCTGGCTCTTACATTGTATTATGGATTCTTGATTTAAGTGGCAATGCACCACATCATAGGTGTCACCTTGACTTTACTGGGCTTTAATTTAGAGTAGGGCTGAACTGGGCTGAAGGCCTCCTCTTCCTTCACAAAGTTCAAGACAGTTAAATTTAGGGAGTCTCTCTTGGCAAGCAAGCAGTCCTACTTATCTCTGTTTCTTCCTTGTCAAATTTACAACTGGTTTCCTGACCAAAGCTGCTTCTTGGCACCAGAACAGCTGGAAAACAATACAATTACATATTGTTTTCATTTTATTGTAAATGTTTTCAATTGTTTTAGCCATCAAGCCTAGCTTGGAAACTTGAGGCAAAAAATTCCTTCAGCTGAGAACTCCCTCTTCTGTTCACTTACGCAGCTGGAGGGAGGACAGTGCTTCTGGCTGGAAGCCAGAGTGTTAGCAGTTTGCCACTGTGCTATTGTGTGATCTAGGAAAAGACCCTTAAGCTCTTTGGACCATGGTCAGACTGCCTGAATTCCGTACAAGTTCCTAAATCTACTTTGTTCTACTTGTTCCCTGCTTACTGCCCTACTTGGACCTGCTGAGCTGCTGCTTGGAAGCCCGCATCTCCTCTGACTCAGTGCCGTGAGACAGGTGATGTTCAGGCTGGCTGAAAATTGCCCTTTGAATTTGCCCATCCACACAAAAGAGTTACTAAAACAGGTTTTGTCCTTCTGGATAAAGTGGTTGGAAATCTATTAATTTTATATGTTGGCAGTTAGCTGTGTTTATTAACTGTATTTAATTTCTTGAATTGTGAATGACCTTTATGCCACTAACAGCCTGAAGTACTGAGACAGTAAGAATATCCTCTGCTGCTTTTTAGTTAAAATCCCTTCTCTCTCTTTCACTGACTGACTCCTTTGTTTGTCCCTTTAGATCTCTCGTCACCCTCTTTCAGCCATGTCCTCGCTGACAGCTCGCTGTTTTCTGAGACACACAGC